GGTCAAATAATGTAGGTTCCCGAAGCCTTTGGTTACAAAATGTGGTAAAGGTGTTGACTATTTTCAACAAAGAAGTTTTTGGTAATATTTTTGGAAAGAAAAAGGAGTTGGAGGCTCGATTACGAGGTATATAATGTGCTCTTAAATCTTAGGATTAAGTTTCCCTTGTTTCCCTCCAAAAGGCTCTTCTCAAGCAGTATGAGGAGGTTTTGTTTCGAGAAGAGAGCTTTTGGTTTTAGAAGACCTGTGAAAAATGGATCCGTTTTGGTAGCAGAAATACCTCATTTTTCAGTACTCAGACAGTATAAGACGTAAGTAAAATAAAGTGCATGAGCTACACTTACTATCAGGGGAATGGTGCACTAATGCGAACGTTCTCAAATATGAATCAATCAAGTTTTACATGGATCTTTTTGATTTCTATGATTGCGTGACTATTGACTCAAACACTGATCATGTTTGTTGTTTATCTCAACTTGTAAGATATTCTTTGGTAGCTCTGATTTCGAAGGAGGAGGTATATTAAGCCCTTATGAGCATGAAGTTCTATAAGGCTCATAGACCTAATGGATTTTTGCCTATCTTTTTCAAAATGTACTGGAGTGATATTGGAGATGTTGTCTAGCATTGTGTGGCAAATGCGTTTGCAAGAGTTTTTTTAGAGACAGGTATAACAAACACACTATTAGTCTTAATTTCTAAGGGGAATGTTTCTACCTCTTTTAAGGAATTTTGACTGATTAGCCTTTGTAATATTATCTATAAATTGGTGTCCAAGATTTTGGTTAATAGGTTGCAGCCTTATCTTGATGAGATTGTTAGCCCTCTTCAAAGTAGCTTTATACTTGGTAGAAGTACCAAAGATAATGTTATTATTTTGCAAGAAGTAAGGCACCATATGCATAAGTCGAAGAAGAAAAATGGGGACATTATTTTCAAATTGGACCTTAAAAAAGCTTATGCCGGGTGGATTAGACATTCCTAAGACAGACGCTTCAGCTGTTTGCATTTTTCAGATATTATAGTGAATCTAATCATGAATGGTATCTCGTCTTCTAGGATATCTTTACCAAAATGGAGATAAGATTGCACCTTTTTATCCAGTGTGGGATTTACGACAAGGTGACCTTCTTTCCCCTTATCTTTTTGTATTATGCATGGAATGCCTAGGGTGTTTGGTTTCTAAAAAGGTGCATGCAGGTCGTTGGAAACCTTTCTAGTTAACTAGTTTGGCCCACGAATATCACATTTGTTCTATGCAGATGATGTGTTACTATATGCAAAAGCAAGAGTGGTTCAAGCTGATTTGGTGGCTACTATAGTGGAGACGTTTTGTGAGATGTTTGGTATGAAGGCGAATGTTGAGAAGTTCCATACTTTTGCTTTGATAGAGGTATCTCAGGTTACTAGAGAATCCATTCTAGGTCGTACAGGTATTTGATTTACAAGGCAGCTAGGGAAGTACCTAGGCTTTCGAATGTTTCAAGGATGAGTTACAAGGGCAAATTATAAGGATATTATTGAGAAGATAGGTAGGCATCTGGCTGGTTGGAAGGATCGTTTGCTGAATAAACCAAGGAGAGTAACTCTTGCCAAGTCTATGTTATATGTTGTTCCAACATATTGGATGTAAATTCATTAGTTTCCACAACACATTTTTGACTATATTGACAAAGCTTGTTGCCATTTTATTTGGAAGGGTCTAGAGAATTGTGATGCTTCTTGGGTTGCTTAGGATACGCTCACGAGTCACAAAAAGAAAGGTGGATTGGGTTTGAGACTAGCTAGTGCTCATAATATTGCCTTCTTTAGAAAGTTAATGTGGGATCTAGTGGCGCCAATGAAACATCTTTGGGTGGAGCTTCTTTGCAATAAGTATATGTAGTCTTGATCCATCTTTGAGGCTAAACAAATGCATGGTTCACCTACTTGGAGAGTTGTTGCTAAAGCTGCTACTTACTGGAAGAAGGGTTCAGGATTAAGTTGGGAAATGGTAGCTCCAATATGTGGTTTGATGCTTTGGCTCTAAAGATCCCTCTTAAGCAAGTAGTCCTTTGGATAGATATCCATGATATGGAGATCCAAGTGAAGGAGCTATGGACTCCTCAAGGTTGACAGTTTGATAGGTTGTATGAAAAGCTTTCGTTATTCGTAATCCAAGCAATACAACAGATTAAGCCCATGTTGTGGCTAATATACCATATTTGTGGATCTAGAGTTTCAACTCGACTAGAGAGCACACCACTCATTTGAGGTTTAGTTGACTTGTGCAAGGAGAACCCATGTCTGCAGAGCGAAGAAGTTGGAATTGGATTTGGAAGCTCCAGCGACCCACTTATACCCAATTCTTTCTCTAGCAAGTATGCCACTTGGCTATACTAGTTAACAAGCTTCCCATGGATCAACATATGTTGCAAATGGAAATGTGAGTCTTGTGTCAGGTTAAGGAAGAAACAATTCAGCACTGCCTATTTAATGGTGTTTACACTAAAGCGATTTGTAATACTTTCCTTTTTTGTCAGGAAGAGTGTCCAGCTACGGAGGTGAGTTCATAAATTTCTACGTATACTCAACAAGTTGCTTCAACTTTTTGTTCTCCTATTAGCAACATTTGGGTTCGGTAGAGTGTTATATGGTTACCTGCTTTAGAAGGTTATATAGGGCTTAATGTTGATGGGAGTTTGGTTGCAGAGAATAAGGTAGGGTTTGGTGGTTTAGCTAGAGATCATCTTGGTCGATTTCTATTTGGTTTTTATGGGTATGTTGGGCAAGTTACCATTCTTTAAGCAGAAATTTTGGTTGTTCTAAGTATAGGGTTTAGAGGTTTGCTAGAACTAGGAGTATAGGCAAGTGATTTGTTATTTTGACTCTCTCACAATTGTTAATATGGTTAGATATGGAGTGCAAAATTATCATGTGCATGCTAATGATGTTCTTCATATAAGGAATCTTATAAGACATAGTTGGAATTGTTCGATTCATCAAATTCTGTGAAAAAAAATAGTTGTGCTGATGCCTTTGTAAAGATAGGGTTAGCGTTGACTCAAGACTTCACATTTGTTACCCACTCGCCTCCTTGTTTAAGGGTTTTGTTGCAGATGTCATACATACTATATTTATTAAGCTATAGTTAGCTTGAGTTTTGCATTACTTTTTTGACTTTTTTTTTTCTATGTAACAAAAAAAATATTATGTTAAAAAAAATATGAAGAAAAAAATATTTTTTTATATTTAATTAATTGATATTACATAAATAAAATAAGTGATATATAATTTTAATATTATATATCTTTTTAATTTATTTAACACAAATAATTAATTATAAATTAATTTGTCAATTTAATTTTATAAGTTATTTAACAATTATAAACTTAATAATTAATATAATACTTTATATATCAATAAATATAGTTATATAAATAAGAATCAAAGTTGTTATGATAAATATGAAAATATATATGAATAATTTTTTAAAACATAAATACAAGGATGAATATTAATGTTATTCCATCCATTGTCATTCATACTCTACGTAGGATAATACTTTAACATTTTTTTCTTTTAAGAACTTCACATGGAATACTTAAACAAAATTACACGATGCAAAATGTTAAAAAAACAAATGTGACACATGTAACTATTTTTAAGTTAAAGACTCGACTAATCATGAGCTTTAAAAACTTGTGCAAAATTTGTTTGTTAATACAGAATCACGAAGGGCATTATATGATACTAACCAAATTAATTTCTACAATCATAAGATTCATTGAAAAAATTTTCTTTCAAATGATTGGAAAATATCAATGTTGAAAATTATTGTATCATGATAAATATTATTATTTTGAAAACAAAATTTCAATTAAGAGACCTTTGCAATAAGTCAATACTTAACTTTACTTTTTAAGGTTACCTAAATATGTGTACAATTATCAAAATTTAGCTATTAAAAATCAATTAACGTTAATTTGAATATAAGATATTAAACAATTGACTTATTTCTTATTATAATTTTTCATATGATCAAAATATGTTAAAAAGATAAAATTAACTTTTTTCATTATTACTATTATTAACTTAAACGTAAATAAAAATATATAATATTTGACATTTATAAGTATACAAGTTATTTCATTAACTTTAAATATAATTTTGTACTACACGTTTAGTGGAATATAAAAAACATGTGAACATATTACCGGTGTTTATAGGATGAATGGGAACGAGATCTTTTCCCTAATCTAGCCTAAAATTTATATGAAACTCTACCTAATCGAAACTAAACAATATACGAGATATGGTTAAGTTAAATCAATTTTTTTTCCTCATAACATAGTATTTTTAATATTATGTATAACTAAATTATAAAATTAGAATATATTCATCATATGTCTTAAAATAAATAATATCAAGATAAACACGTTGTATGCACAATATTTTATTAAATTAAAATCAGTATTATTTATTAATGCATAATTAGTTGAATATAAAATTTTAAAAATATAATATTCTTAATAGAGACAACTAATAACATCAACACAAGAATTTTTATTTTTATTTTTATCAAAATCAACCCATGAAAAATTAATAAAACAAAATGAGTCATAGACACTCTTAATATAAATTTTTAAATATTATTTAATGACTATTGAATTAAATGTTCATTATTAAGATTCACTATTATATTAGTAGAAGAAAAAGAGTATTACAATTTCTCCACGATAAATATGGGACCCACACTTGACTACACTGACATGATTGTGCCACGTGGTCCAACATTGGAAGCGACACAACACAATTTCGTGTCTGTGCCACGCTAAACAAGTACGACGTGTCACCGGGAGAAAAGTCAGATAATCTAGAGTGCGCTTTCGGCATTATCTGACACGTGTCGTTTTATAATTCGTCGTTCACACGATTTTTCACTTTCCTTTCTTGTGTTATCGGTTATTTTATTTTCTCTCTTTTTCTCTTTCCTCTCTTTTCCTCAGTTTTCTCTTGCTTAAAACACAAAACTTTTTCACTTTCTTTTCCTACCCACCTATGTTTTCTTCAGATCCAACTAATACAATCGTCACTTGCACCCCCCCCTTTTCCCTATTCAACCCATGTATGTGCTAAGTTGATCCTCTCATCTTCTCTCTATGCCATTCCCTAAGGTTTGATTCATCGTTTTCTGATTCAAAGTTTGCATTTTTATTGTTGGTCTTCTGATTTTAATTGAGGGTTTTTTCTTTTTGTTTTGGATAAATTGTCGATATTGAATTTTTTGTGAGTTTTTGGATCTGGGTCTGAATTTTTTGCTTGAGTTGTTGCTTTTCGAGAAATAGGGTGTTTTTGGTAGATCTTCTGTAGAGATGAGTCTTTGTAAGTTTTACTTGAATTGAGTTCATTTGTGTGTTGCTTCTTAATATGATGGATCTGATCTCTAGAAGGGTAATGGATTTGTTTGTTTTAGGTTGGGTTGCAAATAGAATTGAGGGAAAAATCAAATGAGGTTTTGTGCTCTTTTTACTTTATGAAAATCATGAAATCAATCACATTGAAGATCGATAATTGGCTTCAAGTTTGGTGAGCGCTTTGTTTAGGCCAATTTTAATCTTCTGTTTACACTGTTAAAGGAAAAAGCCAGATTATTTCTATATTAATTCAAGCATTCTTATTTTATTCTGGATTTAGATTTTTAGGTGTGGTAGATGGTGAATTTAGAATGAATTGGCTTCTAGTATCTCAATTCTCAAGTGCATGTTTGGTTGCACTTTGGACACTAGATTTTATTTTATTTTTTATCGAGATGGTAAGGACAGAGGGTTTGATATTTGAATAATTTGCTTATTGTTTATTTAGGACTAACATATGTGTAGCATATAGATGCAAATAATTTCTTTTGAAATTAAACTTTCATCCCTTCCAGTATGTTTCATTAATCAGCAAAGTTATTTGGGTATACAACTGAAAACTTGATGCGCTATTTTCTCTTAAACTTGGTTAAGTCATGCTGCGGTTTGATTGTTTATTTTTTAATCAATAAAGTTATATTTGTATTAAAAATATATAAATCCAATATTTCTGAAGATTTTGGTCAAACCATGTTTAATTTGACAAAATTTGAAATTAGTTGTTCAAATTTTGGCACAAACATGAATTTCTCCATGTCTTTCTGTGCACATGATTATGTGTTGTTTCACTTGTTTGTATTTTTCTGCAAATTTTTAGTCTTTAGATGTCTAGTTTTATTGGGAAATTTGATTGGTGCTTGAGGCATTTTCTTTCATATAAATGTTGATTTATGCTTTTCTTTTTGGCCTTCTAGTTTCTTTTAATTATTTGCATGGGGCTGCTTGTCATTCTCTGTAAATGAGTCGTGTCTCTTTGTTTTTGTGAGCACTTTCAGATTTTGATGATTCCCATGCTCTATGTAGCTTACTCTGCAGTTGGGAAGGGTGTACCCGAACAAGAGTGTAATTGCTGCGTACAGAGTTATTAATAGTCTTCTAGATCTGTTGGCTTTTTCAGGATGGGCAAGTGCAAGGGTTGTGGGAAGTTAGGGAGAATGAGGCCAAGGGATGGGTCTATGAGTGCTTATGAATTTTCTCTGATGCTGTCTCCTGTTGTTTCTGTTTGGGATTGCATAGTTCGCAAAATGAGGTACTCCTACAGACCTGAGTGGGTGTAGTGGTTTTGGAACGAATCGGTAGTATTAGTCTTGATACTTTGACTAATTACAATATATTTAGCATTACAGTTGGGGAAAGAGTGGAAAATATTACAGAGAAATGTATATAGCTCCAAAGAAATTCTCTTGAAGAAAAGGGATTCTCAAAGAGGACGTCACTTTAGTATTTACTATTTAGGTTTAGTAAATTCTATGGATACCATGGCATGTAATAAAGGGCAACATGTGAGAAAAGCAAAGAAGAAGCAAGTGAAAGACGAGTTGGATCGTCTTAAACAGGCTGAGAAGAAAAAGAGGCGTTTGGAGAAAGCACTTGCTACTTCTGCAGCCATCATTTCTGAACTGGAGAAAAAGAAACAGAAAAAGAAAGAAGAACAACAGAGACTGGATGAAGAAGGTGCCGCAATTGCCGAGGCTGTTGCTCTTCATGTTCTACTTGGTGAAGACTCGGACGATGCTTGTAAGGTTGTTATCAACAACAGCAGTTGCAAGACGTGGAACTGCAACCAGAACATTGACATCTTCATGAGTGGAGAAAGTGGTTGCTTCCCTCATATAGATTGTGGAAGATGGTCTTTTGAAAGAGTGGGTTGGGTCAGTGATGCATACAGATATGGTTGCAAGTGGGGTGCTACTGAAAATGGTGAATGGTCATTCTCTTCAGAGCCATTTGAAAAGAATGTGCATGAACAACTGTATGAAGATGCAGGTTTCTCTGCAGATCTTATTGCAGCACAAGCAGTTTCATCACTGCAGATTGCTGAGGAGGAAGATGAAGAGAGGATTCTCTTCTAAAAGTTTTTAAGGAAATGCTGAGGTGATAGAATAACTGCTTGTGATGGTGATGGTGACTGGATCAAGTCTTTTGTTACTTTGATTGGAGATATGTATATATTATTATGAGTCTTGTCCATGTCAAACACTTGATGCTTCAGTTGTGATTGAACATGTAACATGTTGCAGTGTGACCATGTTTTATTATTCATTATCTTTAACTGTGTGTGACTTTTTGAGCTGATTTCCATCAATATAAAACCACTGAAGGACCACTCATAACTTATTTATTGTCTCCTGGATTATGTCATCACTTTGTTTTTGGCAATTTGATATTGAAATTTTTCCAAGTGCCATGATGATGATATACGTTTTAAGGTATATCATTTTTTTCTTAATAATAAATAATCAACTTTTTATAAAGTTTTCAGTATTCATTATTTTTACATTTCGTTTTTGCCCTTTAAATTTATTAATAATTAATATAATAATAGAGTTTGACTTTAATTAAGGGTAAATTCAAAATATTAAAATATATTAATTGTTTTTAATAATTTTTCTTAATATTATAAGGAGCAGGAAGTACTTTAGAGCTTCTTCTAATCACGGGATGTGTTAACTGATTCAAATGGATGGTTTCAAATAAGACTATGGGCTCCTCATGTATTAATTGGAATCCCAGTAGGTTAGTAGACTCATTTGGTGGCAATTCCTTTCTAAGGAGATTTCTTAATTGTCAAAAGCTAGAAGCCTACCCAGTGGCAGTGAGTAGTTTTTATGTAGGAAATCGCTAATTTCGTGCTTGGCCTTGGCGTGCAAGATTGTCCTGCTAGGTGCCTATTTTCTCTTTACATAGATAGATACTTGGTGTTGAGTATGTGGTCTTTATGTGATGAAGTTGCTTTGTTCGAGAATTGATATTTGGAACGAAAGAGAAAAAAGAAAAGATTATACGATGTGATTTCTTGTTTGATAGATAATATATGAGAAGAAAAATGTTTATCAACTCTCTAAACAAATTTTAGTTATATATTTTAAAGGTTTTTTTTTTTACTACTTTGGAGGGTTTTATATTAACTTTCCTTCTTCCTTTCTTACTCTTCAAATAACTTTTTTTTTTCTCTTTTTTAACTCTCAAACAGAATTTGAGGTATATATAAACACAATCTTTTGACAGTTTTACTTATCCTCTAAAATTGAGGTATTTTTTCAATTTATATTACATATATTATTGATAAGAAGAAATTTTGTTTAAGTTACGTAAGAATATTATAGTGATTTTTTTTTTAATTTTTATCACAGTTATGCACTCAACTTGAATTTAAGATCGTTAGTTAAATACTGAAAGTTCAAGTATAAATCATGATAGTTGTTTAAATTTATAGCAGTTTATAGTAGTAGACTAGTAATCTTAGTTTAAGCAAAATTTTCTCCCTAAAAAATATATAGTTTATATCAAAATCAATAAATAAATCATGATTATTTTAGTTCTTTTAATTTTCATCATGATATCTTTACACCTTTTAATAGCAAAAAATAATTTTTGATTTTCTAAAACATATTTATGATAAAAAATAATTTTTATCTTCAGTTAAATAAATAGAATAGCTGATAAAATGGATAGCTTTATTATTTAGAATGACTCTATGTTAATATGTATAAATATATAGATTAAACTACATCAATAAATTACATGGTTAATAACTTAATTCAACATGTGGTTTTTGTTAATGTAATTGTTAATTATAACAATATATTACTTTGATTATTTATGTTAAGCTTTGTTAAAAATTATAAGAATGTAATTAAATAATTTTTATTTTTTATATATTTCAAAGGTACACATTCTATTAATTTTAATATATATAAATAAAGTATCAAATATTTTTATTAATATAAAATTTTATACATGTAATATATATGATAGAAACTCCGAATCGAATGATTAGCTTTTTATAATAAAATTATCCAATAAAAAGTCATTTAACATTATAATTATAGATGTAACTAACACTTATATATTTGATTCATCTTTAAATATTTATTTGTATTAAATTTTGTTAAAATTAAACAATTAAAAGATTATAAAATATAATAAAAAATATCTTTATCGTTATATATTTAACATAATTATATTTAATAGGATTCACATTCGAGACCACATATTAAATTAAAATAATTATTTTATGATTTCTTTCATTTTAAAGAAATTGAATTTTATTTTTAGTTTAACTATTAAAGCTTTCATTTTAAGTCCTTCTGTTTACACCTTCAATTTTTACTCCTTCATTCTCTGTCTACATGAATTTCTCTTTGTTTCCTATTATGTCACTCTCACCTTTAAAAGTTCTCTTTCTTCTTTTATAATACATGAGGTAATTTTTTATTAACAAATATGCTTTATAAATATTCAAATACCACTGCCCATTTAATATTTTTGTCATGTTTTTTATCTATCATATCACATCATTTATTATATTTATCATTTTTAATTTTATATTTTTTTCTCCTTTTTCAATTTTTCAATGTTTTTAAAGATTTTTACAAAAATCCTTTGAATAACTACCAATCAAGAATAGACATAGTAAGGGAAGATTAATTTCAGAAACATCTTGAAATCTTTTAATCTTAATTAAAAGAAATTATTTAAAGAATTAATAATTGTTTTTTTAATTAAACGTCAGGTTGTGACTTGTGACTGTCTTGAAGGCACTTACTAGTTTTTTTCAAAATTTTTTAGAATAGTCATATCTGGGCATTGAGACAAAGTATAAAAGATTATTAATGATGTAATTGATTATATAATATAAAACGAACTACAAAAATGAATGCAGGAGAAAGTAGTGGATAAATTTAAGAGCTTTATTTTTTCTTTTTAAATAGAGTTTTTGATTTTTAAAATTAAAAAATAGAAAAACTTGTTAATGTAAGTTTTAAAAACTATTTAAAAATTAATTTTTATTTTAAAATTAATTTTTAAACTAAAAAATAGAATATTATTTAGATGTTTTTATTTTTATTTTTCTATTTATTTTAAATTAACAAAAGTCTAACTAAAAATAATTTTAAAAATTAAATTATCAAATAAAATTTATTTTATTTTATTTTTCTAAAAGTAGTTTTATAAAATTGCTTTAAAATATATTTTTTAAAAATTAAAAATCAAAACTAAATCAAACAAACTTAAGAGTTTGATTTTTTTTGCTTTTCATCACACTGAATACTAAAATAACATAGTTATCAACCCATCACATTCATCAGCCATGGCTCCTACGAGAAGACAGAAGAGCGCAACACATTTCCTGGGGTACTACTGAAGGTCTTGTGACAGAACAACAGTGGCGTGAAAATTTGTATCCAACGTATAATGAACCCTCACTTGAAAAACGTAGTTTCTAGGCTCTCTTTTGCTCAACCAACATGGATCACGCACCATATTATTTCTTGTACCTATTTTACTGAAACCCATCATTCTTATTCTCATGCCCATCTCACCAAGCATAAAGACTCATTTTTAAAAACAGAAAATCGAATATACAATTTTGATTCGACCACTTTCCACGTTGCCTGCCACATGTTTGAAGAAATGTCTGCCTTAACTGTTGCATCAGCTACCAACATGATCAGTGACTTCGCTGAGCAGCATCGCCATGAAGACGCTATCTATCTTTTTACTAAAATGCTTGCTTCTAAAATTAGACCCAATGAGTTCACATTTGGAACTGTGCTTCACTCCTCCACTGCACTTGGAAAAGTTGTTGTTGGTAGGCAGCTTCATGCTTGTGCAATGAAGGTTGGACTTGGCTGTCACGTGTTTATTGGTAGTGCTCTTCTTGATTTGTATTTCAAGTTGAGTACTATAGAAGAAGCCGAGAAGGCTTTTGGAGATACCCAACATCCCAATGTGGTGTCTTATACAACTCTAATTTGTGGGTATTTGAAGAGAGGGAGGTTTGAAGACGCTTTTCGTGTTTTCCGTGAGATGCCTGAGAGGAATGTTGTCTCGTGGAATGCAATGGTTGGTGGGTGCAGCCAAACTGGCCATAATGAAGAGGCTGTGAGTTTTTTTATTGACATGCTTAGAGAAGGATTTATACCAAATGAATCTACATTTCCCTGTGTGATTTGTGCAGCTGCAAATATGGCTGCCCTTGGAATTGGGAAAAGTTTTCATGCTTGTGCAATCAAGTTTTTGGGTAAGGTTGATCAGTTTGTTGGTAATTCACTTATTAGCTTTTATGCAAAATGTGGAAGCATGGAGGACAGCCTGCTAATGTTTAACAAGCTTTTTAAGAGGAATGTAGTTTCATGGAATGCTGTGATATGTGGTTATGCACAGAATGGAAGAGGTGTTGAAGCAATGAGCTTCTTCAAAAGAATGGCTTCAGCAGGCTATAAACCCAATGATGTTACCCTTCTAGGGTTACTCTGGGCTTGTAATCATGCTGGTCTTGTTGATGTGGGGTACTCATATTTCAACCGAGCCAGGCTTCACCACCCCAGTTTGCTAAAACCTGAGCATTATGCTTGTATAGTTGACTTGCTTGCTCGCGCTGGACGTTTTGCAGAAGCCAAGGATTTCATTCACAGCATGCCTTTTGACCCTGGAATTGGATTTTGGAAGGCATTACTTGGGGGATGTCAAAACCACTCTAACATGGAGTTGGGGGAGCTTGCAGCAAGAAAGATTTTGGCTTTGGATCCTGATGACGTATCATCATATGTGATGTTGTCAAATGCTCATTCTGCTGCAGGTAGGTGGTCAGATGTGTCAACAGTAAGGACTGAGATGAAGGAAAAAGGGATGAAAAGGATTCCAGGTAGCAGTTGGATTGAAGTAAGAGGCAAAGTTCATGCCTTTCTTTCTGCAGACCAGAAACATGCTAAAAATGATGAAATATATGTGCTTTTAAGATTTTTCTTTGAGCATATAAGGGAAAATGAGGCTTCTGATTTTCTAAACATTGATTGCAATTTCAGTACAGTCTAAGTAATGAGCGTAGTTCTGTTTGATATAGGATTATGCAATTTTGACTTTTAAAAAGGGTTGAATATTATTTGCTTTTAGACTAGAGAATTCTATTTGTTGAGCAAGATGAGACTGACCATTTTGCTGTTGTGAAATAGAGAAAACTTGAGCAGAGGAATTCAGTAGCTAGTGTAAAAAATTATAGCCAAAGCTAAGTGATAGCAAAGCTTTATGACAGCTTTATTGGTGCATAAGCCTCATTTTATCAAGGTTTTCTTGGTACATAAAACTTGCATGATTTCTGGCCTTGCATCCTGGCAGTTGATTTCCTCAAGGTTTTGCTGAAGATTTTCAGTTTTATTTCAAATTTGATCATTTTCTTTGTATTTTTACGTGGAAGTGAATGTTATCTTAAAAGAACAATATGATAAAAAAGTGAGTGACAAAAATAAGAATATTAAAGTAGAAGAATGGTCACATCAGAAAGGAAATGATAAGAAATGATAGTTTGTTGCATAGATACAGGTATAGTACCAGGTACAGGATACGACATACAATATTTTCTAAAAAAATAAAGTACAGGTGTGTCAATTAAAAAACAAAAAAAAAACTATATATAAAATAAAAGTGTGACATCTAATTTTCACTAAAACTCTAACGTCATCAAGTCATAATAACAATCTCAACAATACATATGCGGGCGGGCGCGCATACATACATATATATAATATATATAATCACACTAATAATCATTACGACATATCCATTCAACACCCTCGAGTAATATCGTAGAGGAAACATTCTCAAAATTTTCATATCTCATCATTTAATCATGGGCACATATCAAGAGGTTACAAACAAATTTTCCTCTTGTTCAGTTCAGCGTTGTCAATTAAATCTACTATCACACTTAATCAACCGGTGGAGATAAATCATCATAATCAAGCAAAAAATTTGAAAGAACAGCAACTCAACACATGGTTCTTCTCAATCTCTCCACACTATCATCAAGTACTTAACTTTCCCATTTTCTTAATGAGTGCTCATTAGAGTCACTTCTTAATCCAAACATCTGTACTATGGGTTCATATCAAACAGTAAGATACGCATATTAAAATCACAAGACCATAAAACTGAATTCTAAGAAGTATAAAAGTACGATTGTATAAAAAGAAAACGAGTGAATCATCTAAACCAAACTGTCCAAAAGTAAGTGTACTGGCAAAATAGCCCCCAAAAGTAAGTATAGTAATTCAAAATAAACAAGACCAAAGTCTTATGAGCAGTGTCAACTCATGACTGTATAACTAATCTACACATAAAATTTCAAAGGAAGAGAATCTTCGCTAGGGTCAAATTCCATTCCATCAGAATCAGGCGAGTCGTGCATCAGTTGAGGGCAAGGAGAAGATGGCAAGTCATCAGGATCACTGTCTATCCATTCGATAGCGGGTGGTGGTGAGCAGGAAGCAAGTGAAGGTGGTGGTGAAGGATGTCGTGTAGAAGGTCCAGCCTCATTAGAAAGAGGTACAGGGACTCTCAAGGGTCTGTGGGGTATAGGCCGAATGGAAGACTCAACGACTTCAATGTCCTTCTACTCAGGCTCAGAGGTAGAACTAGGGCAAGGAATGGGTTAGGGTTCAAAACTCATAGAAGCTTTACCTTTGTCAAGGATTCTAGAAGAATCATAAGGTAGTGTTTGGTTTGGTGAAGACAGAGAAGGTGGGTGAATGATAATACTTTTCTCAGAGGGTAAGGGTACAAAAATGTCAGCGAGAAGGCAATCACTCTAGTAGGGTTTCCAGCCATCTTCAGCGACAGGCCCCAAATTCAGAGTGATCATTCCTTGGTATGTAAGATGACGCATTGTTGGGTCGTACGTTGATGAATCCATATTTTTACTGATATTTTAGCATAATTCTAACACAATTGATAAGAAAAATATATGAAGAAAGCAGAAAAACTCAGAAAAAAGAGAAGGAATTGAAGTTTGTTTACATATGTAGTTATTTTAGCAATTATAGAAATTTTGCTTAGAAATTAAGTTTTTAATCTTGTTTTTGAAGGAATAAATTGAGCAAGGATCATGGAAATGGAGGCTTGAAGATAAGGAAGAAGAAAGAAGCAAGTCTGGACTCCAAAAACACAAGACCAAGAAAGTGCAGACTGGGTGTGATCACTATTTTCAGTAAAAGTGATCATTCTAGAGTTCAAAGAAAAAGAAAGTTTGGGCGTTATCACTTCTGTTAGGAAAAGTGAGAGATCCTGTGAAGTCTTAGACTCAACATGCTGGGCGTTATTACTTTTATCAGTAAAAGTGAGCGTTCCAGAGAGGTAAATATTAGGAAAAGCTCTGCATAACTACTATTATCAGCGAAAGTGAACGTTCCAGAGAGCCTTCAACCTAGCGAGTTGCGCGTAATCACTTTTATTCATAAGAGTGATTACGTGCAACCACTTTAGCTCTGTGTAGTCACTTTTATCAGCAAGAGTGATAGTTCCAGAGAGCCATCAATATCAAGAAAGTTGCGCGTGGTCATTTTTTCTCATAAAAGTGTTAACACGCAACCATAAACCTTCTGCGTGGCTACTATTTCTCATAAAAGTGATATCGCACAAATTTGGAAAATTCTATAAATAACAGAAATGTGCAGATTTTTCAGAGTTCAGTTTTATTTTCCATTTTTTCTGTTAGATCTCGTTGAGGGAGCTTGAGAGAGAAGATTGGGGTCAAGTCTTGAAGCTTCCAAAAAGAGGAATCAGATTGGAGCTTCCGGTTATGGCTTCTTGGAGTTTTTCTTCTTCTTCTTTCTCTTTCTCTTCTCCTATGTCTGAGTAGTTTTCTTGTAGTTAGGGGTTTATGGAACTCGAATTGATGTATTGATATGACTCTTGCTTTTGAATTTTGAGTTCTTGGATTAATTAAATTGTGAATTCTGTTTTTCTTGCAATCTATGAATGGAAATTTGTTTGATTCATCTTAGAGGAACAATTACCAATGGAAGTTGGATTTGCTTCTCCGATCTGAGTTAGCAATCAGAATTTGGAGATTTCTAAGGGATAAGGAGACCTAATTCTGCAATCTTAAGGTTCTAAGTCTTAATGCAACTTGAAATTGAACTTCACCTAAGGGATTAGGGTGGTTTAGTTGCTTGTTAGGGTCAATGAGTTAAGGAATTAACCCTTGGCTATTGCTATGCGAAACTGATTGTCAATTAACCAAGTTCTTGAATGTTCAGAGACATAATTGAATTAATACTGATATTCTTGTGAAGTAAATTTCTAACTATTCTTCATTCCTATCTCATTTCATTACAAATCTTATACTATGTTTTTCTGCAAGTTCTTTACTTTTAATTGCTCTGGTTTACTGCTGTTATATGTTATAAATCTCATTCCAAAATTTGTATGGCTCAAATGGTTATAATTCTGTGAAGTGGTACTTGAAACCTAAATTCCCTGTGGAGACGATATTCTGATCTTAAATTTACTCATCACTTGCTGCAATCCTAGTGCACTTGCTAGTGTTTAGATTGCTAACAACATACGTCCATGCCTCCTTCCCTCTGGAATCCTCTTCCCATATCATCGCCCATTATGGATCCATCTGCCACACAGTCATGCAGGATACACAAGAGAAACACAACAGAAAGGGTGAGTCCAACATGAAAATTTACTAACAATTAAATATAACAAAGGAAAATAAGCATGAAATCAGAGTTGAAAGAAACACTCATTTCGAGATTTCACATCAAAATTCCATACAATCAAAATCAACACAAGCAATAAGGTCAAGCAGAATCATCGATGAAATGTATGCCACTCATGTAATCATTACTCCTTCAGATTTCCAACGTTCCTCCAGTCAAGGTGATCGGAGACCCTCATTCCCTACAAGCACACTATCATATATATATATATATATATATATAAGGATATTCTTCCTTTCAATTTATATTTATTCTTCAAGAATGAGTTCTACCACGATCCTTGGTAATGCTTGCTCGTGTTAGGATTAGTGAATATTTGCTGGCGACTTGGTTCAGTCACGATGAGCTACTCCGTGCCATTGGGGCAATCCTCCTCACTACCCCTAAGGTTCTTCCCTTTGAACTTGAACACTCTATATTCCCCAATTGTGCCAAACTGTGACCTTGACTCTTCTTTTTCACCTCCATGCATATTCATAATTATATGATAACATCCACACTTGATACTAGTCATCATCCAACACTATTATTCTCAGATTGTACATTCAAACTTCAAAGAAAAATATCATAGTTTGTAATCATCATCACAATCTAAATTAGTACAGCCACTTATAACAAAATAATCAAACTTTGAGTACATAGGAAGTACATAATAATTATGTCAATCATAATAAAGCAGAAACATGACAGATTTCGAATCTTTCTCCTGAAATATTAAAAACATATTCAGAATGGATAACCATGCACACACACAGAGTTTAAGAAACGAAAAGAGAAAAGGAATAATAAATACCGCAACTCTTTATGAAATATCAGAACGAAAGGTATATATATATATATATATATATATATATATATATATATATATAATGAGTATTGTTGAAAGCATTACACAGAACAGCCACGAGTTTAACTCCACATAAATTTTAATTTTTAAACTAACAGTCAATAGAAATCAGGATTAAAGGGTAGAACAAATTATTCACAATTGAAAATCAGTGGTGAGACTAAGTTTAAAGGAAAGTGGTTTATTTGCTCTCGGCAAAGTAGAAACTTGAAAAGGAAATAAGTTCTTCTTCTGATTTTTACCTAGAAAGATGTAGACAAAAGGAGAATAAGTAAGTTTTGTAAAGAGAATAACATGAAATAGAGTAGAGGAATGTAAACCAAAAAGGAAATAAGTGAGCTTCATAAAAATATAACATGCAACAGGGCATTATCTCAAAATCACCCTCTTTACTCAATCGAAAAGCAATAACAACCAAGGATCATGAAAATATCAAGTAATCAATAACATAAAAATATAATTCA